TTTCACATTCAAGTTGGCCAGAAAGATCATTTTGCGGATACAATGTTTTGTATACTGAGAAGGTCTTTATTGGGCGAGCTAGTTTCTTTATCGGTAACCTTGTGCTACGCGATACATTGAGTATGTACATATACCAAATGGAATACATTTCTGTTATTATTATTTTTTACAAACTATGCCGAGACTTGTTCTTAATATGTATATATGTATTAAAATTTTTTAGAACGTGTCTAAAATTTCGACAGTATGTTTTGTAAAATCAAGAAGTTTTCACTGCGTTGTGATGTATAGATGTTAAACAAACGATTCTTCTCCGACATCGTCATTCAGTTGAATATAGACATATGTATTTGCAAAGAGCCAATTCAACGCAAGGGTGTGATTGCAAAACATCTAAAGCGTGTGATCATGTTTTGAAGAAAAAAATATGTTGTAAAAAGAATCGGCAAGACATCGAATAGAGAGTAGTTACCGCTAAATACCGGGTGTAGACAACAGTCGAAAAATAGATTCCACAAAGCGTACGCGCTGGAAGCTGTGAAAGAGGCATGGAAGGAACCCTCGGAGGGGATGCTACGGAGGGACCGCCATGACATGCGGGAAAGTTTAAATTGATCTTAACGAAGCTTAATTGATTGCGCTTGTGTGAGTTAATGCGTGTGAGCGCATTGGGTTTGTCTGCGAGAGAGTGGGAGAGAGCGCTGTACACTGGGCGAAACGTGGGATCTGCAAGTGCGTGCCTTACACGAAAGACGAAAAAAAAATTGAACCATAATTTGCAGTGTAAGCTGAAATATAAAAGGCACACTTTCCAATTGAAGGTTTTCGAATTCGAATAAGAAAACTATTTTAAAAATCCCAGGTCTCATTTAAAAATTACATTTTTTGGGTGGGATGGTTTATCGAAATTTAAATTTTTCTTAACTGACTATAAATTTAATCCATTAAAAATTAGCCACTTCTCTTTATTTTGTGTTTTTAATTTAAGTGCAAATTAAACATTGCAATATAAGTTTTACTACATACAGTTACACGTCTTACAGTTTTACGATAAATTTAATAAAAAATAAAATAATCGCAGAATCCAGTCAGTTTATAAATGAAAAACAATAAAGTGTGGAAAAGTAATAATGTTAGGAGATTTCGTTAACGACTGAATTAAACATTGCAATATAAGTTTTACTACATACAGTTACACGTCTTACAGTTTTACGATAAATTTAATAAAAAATAAAATAATCGCAGAATCCAGTCAGTTTATAAATGAAAAACAATAAAGTGTGGAAAAGTAATAATGTTAGGAGATTTCGTTAACGACTGAATTATTAAAAATTTCAGCGTTGTTTTCAACTTAACACAACCCGGACAACTACCACGATACATAGCCAATACTCTTAGTAATTCAGTCGTCAAAGAAATATTCTGATTAACTTTTTCTTTAAAAAATATGTATATCTCCGTCTTTAGGGGTTATACAACAAAAAATAATTCAAATTTAAATGTAAAACAAAAAAATAAAACCCTTAAAAATAAATTAAATATAAAGCGGTCTGTCTGTGGAAAGAAAGCAATTTTTAATATTAGAAGTTTTGTTTTTTTGGTTTTGAGGGTTTAAATATAATGACTTTTCTATTAGAGCATCTTGGTCAACCTAACCTTATTTAAAACAAAAATAAGGGAAAACATTCCTGAGTCCAGGATTTTAAATTTGATTACAATTAAAGTTAATTGAAAATTAATGATTTTTCAAATCAGTTTTTAACATCTAGAGCTGGAGGGATCCAATAGAAATTTTCTACATTTTTTCAATCATGTAAAATTGGTAATAACTCAAGTTCCGTAAATCTGTAAATCGAATGAAGGAGCAGACGAGAAGAAAATCTTGTTAAGATCGAGTATTTTATCAGTAAAAGTGGCAACACTTCTTTCAATACACATCAGAGCTTGAGTTTTGGTAATTAAGAAATGTTTATGCCCTGTACTTATTTATGACTTATGAGCAAGGTAAAAATAAAGTTATTTGTCAATTATTATTTTCTCATAACTCCTGTTATTATTACGATCCCTGTTTTAAGCCCCCTCCCTCTTGTTGCGCTATAGCGAATGTCCACAATAATACACAGTAAAGAATCCAAGTTTTTTTTTTTGTTTATTTCAGATTATCAACGGGTTGCATTGTTTATACCACACACTGAGCGTAGATCAGTTAAATCTTTGGACACGCCAACTTAAGACGAAAGATTTGCTAAGGGAAGGGTTTGCCAATATACGACAGGCGCTAATGAAGTACACAATTCGGTTACGGGATTGGTGGTTGGTAGCGGCTGTTCCGAGCCCGCTTAGGCGTTGGCGAAATCAATGCCCTTCTGGATGTTCTTCTTCAGCTCAGGGATGGCTGCCTCCAGCAACTTCTTCTCATAATCGTTGAGCTTGGGTAGGCCCAGGTTTTCCTGCACTCCGTTCTTGCCCAGCACCAGGGGTGTGGAGAAGAAGGTGGCCTCCGTGACGGTGGACTGAACATAGGAGCACTCAATCACGTTCTTCTCGCCGTTGAGACCCTTAAGCAGAGAGCCGGCGAAGCGGGCGCCAGCATACGCCATGGATAGAGTGGCGGATCCAGCTCCGGCCTTGGCCTTCACCACCTCAGTGCCGGCCTCCTGAATCCGCACGGTCAGCTTCTCAATGGTGTCCTGGTTGCCCTTGAACTGGGGCTGGCTCTGCGACAGCACGGGCAGAATGGTCACACCCGAGTGGCCACCAATCACGGGAATTTGCACGCTCTGGGGATCCACTCCCAAGGCATGACCGATAAAGGCGCGGGCACGCACAACATCGAGGGTGGAGACACCGAAAAGACGCTTGGGATCGTAGACACCAGCCTGGAATCGTACACGAAATTCATAATATTTCCATTTCTAACAGTTGGTTTTTCATTCTTTACCTTCTTGAGGATCTCGGCAGCAATGGGCACGCAGGTGTTCACCGGATTGGTGATGATGGCCACCAGGGCCTTGGGGCAGTTCTTGGCAATGGAGTTGGAGATGTCCTTGATGATGCCGGCGTTCACATTGAACAGATCATCGCGGGTCATGCCGGGCTTACGGGGCACACCGGCGGGAATGACGACCACATCGGATCCTGCAAAAACATACGCGAAATATATTTGAGTTTTTATTCGGTGGCACTTTGATCTTTGCTCTGCGTCCAATCTCTGCACTGATAAGTAGTAGCCGCTTCTGATTACGTCGTTATAAATACCAATAGCTTTTCTTCGGTGGTAGCTCAGTCATATATGTACACATATAGTCTTAGGAGCTTATCTTATCACAGCATAAAACATTTTGCTTATGCAAATCACATGAATGTGAATTTAAGGGTTCAAAACTGTTTCTTACGTAGTGCCATTTGTTCTATTTTCCTGCATTGATATTCCGCCAAAGCTTAAGCTTTTTGTAATTGGAAATTTTATTTTATAAAGCGGTGCTTGGTGTTCCAAAGACATACAGAAATACAACAAAGCCTAGCCTTGTAGCTAGCTTTTAATGAATAAGAATATAACAACCACTAAAAATACTACTAGAAAATTCTTTATAATGCCTCTGAAATACTTGCTTTATAACTTGCCATTGAATTATTAATTTTATCTAGGAAGAATTCAAATCAGAAGAAAATGCTATAGTCGAGTGTACTTTGCTGGAGATACCTTGTTAGCAAGTCTTTAATTAAATTGTCAAAAAATGTTCATGTTTGAATGTATGTATGTATCTTTTTACTCTTTATTGTCAGATATTTTAGTCTCTAATCAGAGGTGTTAATAAAGACGCACGGACAGACGGACGTGGCGTTGTTGCCTCAGATACAAAATTATTAATTTTTCGAATAGGCTTAAGACAGCTTATGTGTTATGTGGCAGACACCTTTCGTTTTATAACTAATAAGGAAAAAATATTGCAGTACATTCGCATTATCAATTCATTTTTTTAAGTGTAATATCGGTGAAATTATCTCCCCTGTCGACCCCTCCCCCATTGCCAACTTTTCCACTGCACCCAATGTACATAACCTCACTCGCTTCGCTGGCCTCTGCCCTCTACTCACCCTTCAGGGAATCGCCCAGCTGGTCGGCACCAATGAATCCGGCGGTCTTGCTCTTGGTATCGATGTGCGACAGATCGGCGGCCACGCCGGGCGTATGTACAATATCGTATAGGGCCAGGTCGGTGACCAGGGGATTCTGCTTGAGAAGCAGCGACAGGGGCTGGCCGATGCCTCCAGCGGCTCCGCAGACGGTCACCTTGTAATTGTTCTGCAGCAGGGAACATGGGAAATAAAATCGTTATGGTATTATGCAGTTAGGTAATAAGCTAGCAGCGTCTTTTCTGGCAGCAGAGCAAGCAGCTCCCAGTAAAAGATGCAAGTTCCGCCTGTTACGTAAACAGTTGCAGTTGCCGATGTGGGGGGCCAATTCTGACCGGGTTTTCCTGCTTACCTGCTGGCTGATCGAGAAGTTGCGCACTCCCTGCAGGGCCAGTTGCTTCGTCACTTGCTTCAGCATTTTTGCAATTTATTTGGTACAAAAAGAGTGGGTTAAACAATTAAACAAGCGCCAGCCAAATCCCGCAATCCAATGAAGCAGATTTGCGAATCTCTTTTGTTGTTGTTCCTATTATCGCGGCGGGGGTGAACTTGGGACTGCCAACTGATACGAAAGCTTTTACTCGGACGCAAGCTTTTTAGTTTTCGAAATTTTCTCCAATGGATTGGTAGTAAGCGCAGCCAGCAAGAATGCATTTTCCGATATTATTAGTTTAATCTTAACGGATGTACAGTTTTACCGTTAAAACAGTATTATTATTTGAGAAGATTGCTCCCGCTCTCTACTATGGGACTGCCAACTGGTTGTGCGTCCAGCCATAAACTGCTTTGTCAAAACAAGAACTGCTTGCCGGCCGAGTAGTAACGGAACTAGTTCTCGCTCCCCAGCAAGCTGGCAGCCCCGCTGGGCCGCCGCGTCCGCATGGCAGTCCCGTTGGCAGTGCCGCAGTCTCAGTTTTTTTTTAATAAAGTGGGAGTGATATCGTTAGTTCTGGATTTCAGGCATGATATTCTGGCTGCAAACACTTAAGCCGACAAGCTTTCAATGTAAGTTTCTCCTTTATTTTTCGACATATGTATACATATTTAATCATCCGTTTTACGCTCACAGTTAATTTTCCCGCAAGATGTCATCTCTTCGGCTGAGCCAGCAGCAACGAGACCATTTGACCCTTCTCCAAAGACCTGCCAGCGATGTTGTGGAGCTGTGCAAGTTAGCCTTTGATTACTTAATAAATGGACCCAATCCCAGCCGCTACGAAACGATGGCAAAGAAGTACATTGAGTCCTGCAGCCCGGAGGCAGTGCAGCGGGCTGTAGAGGCGCTGATATCGCTGCTGATAAGCGTGACCACCCGGGTCAGTGTTAATACTTCCGCTCATATGCAGTCGGTCCTGCGTCAGACATTCCCCGAACTGTCCAGCGATGTGCTGGAGGTCCTCGAACAGTTCGTCACGAGCAAGCGGAACTTTGTGGAGGGATCGATTAAGTCGGCCAACATACGTGCCTATCGCCTGGTCAACTTGAACTGGCGGCTGGAGGTGCGCACTGCCTCGCGTAGTCTGCTGGATCAGTGCACCGTCTGCATCGTAATGAAGCTCTATCTGCACACCGAACCGAAGAACGAGAATAGAGAGCTGCTTTCGGTGGACTTGAGCGACCGCAGCGAACAGGAGCTGGCGACCATGGAGGAGGACGGGAGGAGGCATCGAAAGGATGTGATAGTGCAAACTGATGTCAGCAGCTTGGTGCACATGATCAAAACGCTGGAGGACGCGCTGGCAGAGTCAAAGACACGACGTGTCCGCAACATCGTTGATGCCATCCACTGATGTCTCCAGAAACCGCCTACTTGCTAAGCTACTTTAGTCTGGACCAATTTATTAAAACTAAAACTAACTATAAAAAGTGTTGCATGTAATGAAATCATTGCGAAGCTGCAAGAGCTTCGGCAGCGGCTGTCTTCAGCGCTACCTTCTTGCGCTGCCGGTTTTCCTTCTTTTCCTCGGGGGTCTTTCGCAGCGCCTTAACGCGTCGCGTCTGAATCGATCCTGTCTGCTGCTTGCCCAAATGGACGCGTCCCTTGGTATTGCCCAAGGCGTCTGTGCTGATGTTCTTCTTCTTACCGACCTTCAGTTGCTTGGGTTGCTTGCGCGCCTGCTTGTATAGATCCTCGCTGGCGATCTTTGTCCGCCTTATGGCAAAGTCAGCCGAGGGTCCGATCTCCTCCAACTCGATGCGGGGTGTCCGCTGTCCCGATTTCTTCAGCAGGATCCTATAGGAGCGCATCAGGATGTTCATGTCGTCGGTCACCGTGAAGCTGAGGACATGCTCGATTCCCTGGAGACGAATCGACTCCACCTTCTCCCGCTGAAATGTGTCGATGAAGAGGTTTCGAAGTCGTCGCAGTTCCTCAGTCTGTGACCACTGTGGTCCGTTGAACACCAGGCAGGGTTTCACGCAGGTGCCAATCTTCTCATTTTTGAACTCGGAAATGGCCTGATATCTCTTAATGCCCAACTCGAACATGTCCAGCACTTCATTCTCGAAAATCCTGCCTAAAATTATGTTGTCAGGACGCTTCTTCGATGTGGAACCAAAGGAAAACAGCGACGCATCGTTCTTCATTGTTAAACTATAGAGACAGAGAGCATTAAATCGAAATCAAGCAAGTTACAGCTTCCAAACCTACAACTCTAGGGAGGAAGGATCGTCAAAGGGTGTTATATCATTCTTGCGGTTCAGCACTTTCACAAGAGGCTTCTTAAGCGCTTGAAGGTCCTTCATACACAGCTTCACATTGCCGCCGCATTTCCGTCCGTCCAGAAAAAGCATTGTTCGGGCAGATTCAATCAACTGTGGCTCCCTGGCCAGCAGAACCTTCTTTCCCTTGCGGGTTTTTGGTTTCCTAGAAGCATAGTAGTATGTATTTAAGTGTGCATTTATGAATAGCTGATTAGTGTTTCTTACCTGATGCGTAAAAGCGACATGTTTCAATGCTTTATTTAATAAAAACAGAACAACTAATGTTAAATTGAAACGCACGTGTAAGCAGTGTAGCCAGAGGAAAATTTGGCTCTGTCCCTAAAAAATCCCAAAAAGATAAAAAAATTCCCCTTCAAAAATCTACATCTCATATTCAAGCCACACCTGATATTCGAACCACATCTAATACTACAACCTATGATCCCTGATGAATCCCCAGTGCTGCCCATGTTCTCGTTCATGAGCGAACAGTCCTGTTAAATTCAAATTTTAAACGCATTTACTAAAAAAACATTTTATGACTAAATTAAGCTCAGTTAAAATTATGTCTGTCTATTATAGCAGCTTACATTTTTTTTTTAATATAAGTAAGTATAGATTAAATTGCTACCACAGAAAACTCTTAATTGTGAACGGATTTTGTATTCCCCGTTAAGTATAAACCAAAATGAATTTTGCTTTATTTTTCTTTTTCTTTGGTCATTGCGCGGGAAACTGCAGGTGTGTCCAGCCTCTAGTGGCTTAAATTTATATATTAAATCAAATTTTACATTACCTAACACTATTTCTTATTGGCATAAATATTTCGATTTATCGATGTACCGTTCAGGCAGGTAAATATTTTATTTATTTTTTCATCATTTTATTTCATATGTCGGGGAGTTTGGAGCTTATCAAATGCGCCTGCTGATGGTTATGCTGCTGGCCGCCTTTCTGTATGCATTCACTTACTTTGGCCACATATTCCTGGTACTCGTTCCTGACGATTCAAAGCAATGATTAATAAATAAGAAATTTAGAACTCTCCGACTCGAGGAGCAATTTAAATGTATTGTAAAAATATACATAATATACGTCCGGTCTATTCGGAAAATAGCCAGTTATGTAAATATGAAATCCACGAACCGGAGTATTGTATTATTATTTAAAATAATTTATTTAGTCGGATCATCATTCAGCGGTCCATTCAGCAGGCATCATAATCAGGGGAGTGTCCGTGGCTTATCCTATTACCAAGCATCAGGAACTTAAGTTTTATATCCGTATTGCAGACACATTCCCCAGACCAGGTTTTTTCGTCTTATGTATAAACTTTGGTGGAACTTGTTTGATATTCATTTGTCTCTTCAAGTCGCTTCCCCTGGATTATAACTCTCTGCCTGCGTAATGCTATAAATTTGATTGCTATATCTTCTTTCATTTATACTAAGATTGGCACACCGATGTTTATATAGTATATAAATAAATTTCTATGGAAGCTATATGATATAGTCGTCCGATTGATGGAGGGTATATATTATATACTATATCATATAGCTCCATAGAAATTTATTTATTTTATTTATTCATTATTAAATATTATACATAAACGTATTTATAATATAATACTTAATTTAAAGATAGGGAGTAACTAGCTACTGTGGCCATCGACTCGACAATTGATATTTATATTTTCATGAATATTTCTGGTTTTAAACTTTGTAAGAGTGGGAATTATGTAGGGAAATAGATAGAGTTGTTTAAATTTGGTGTATAATTTTACATTTGCTTAGAAAAGATAATATTAAATTTGAATTAATGGTTGTTAGGTTAGCCAAAAGATTTGAGGGCGGTGTTGGACCGAAGAGTTTTGTTCTGATGTTATGAAAGTGTCCGCATTCATCTAGTATATGTTTGACTGATAGTTCGTTCCCGCAGTTAGGGCAGTTCACCTGCCTTTCGCCGTTGAGGATGTGCTTATGTGTGAGGTTTGTGTGTCCAGTATTTAATCGGGTAAGAATGGAGCATTCCCTTCTAGTGCACGATACTGGTAATTTGGTGACTTTTTTGTCGGGGTTAGACTTTTTATACCAGTGGTTAAAAGACGACCAGTCTTCCAATTCGATGTCTAGTAATATCTTTTTGATGTTATTCCAGATGTCCTGTTGTACTCCAGGTATGATTGTTAGGCACGGAGCCAGTCCAGCTAGCTTTGCTGCTTTGTCGGCGAACTCGTTTCCAGTTATTCCTATATGCGCCGGGACCCATAATAGTTTAATTTTGCTACGATTTTTGATGCACAGGTGACGAATTTCGCATAGAAGGTTGTTGTTGTTGTAGAAGTTTTGAACACCTTGCAGGGTGGACAGGCTATCACTGCAGATGATATATCTTCCTTTATGTTCGAGGGCGAATTTAATTGCTTTAATAATGGCTATTGCTTCTGCAGTAAACACCGAGAAGTGGTGGGGTAGCTGCCCCCATGAAACAGTTAATCCGCGTTCGTCCACAACTGCAAAGGATGTTGTGGCGTCAGATTTTGAGCCGTCTGTATAAAACCATTTCCGATCGGAGTACTTGTGCGTAACTTCTTCGAATAGCTGCTTAAATATTGTGATTGGAGTCCTAGATTTTTGAAAATCGTGGAGAGAGGTGTCAATTTCCGTGGAATGTAATTTCCAAAACGGAGACGGGATGACTTTATTCCAGCGGTAGGGTTTTTCTATGTGGTGTCTCTTCATAAAGTATATACACCTGCGTATCGCAGATTGGACTTTGAATTTCCTACGATGCTTTATGGCTACTTCGAGGTTCTTGAGAAGAATCGTGTTCGTCGAGCACATGAGTTTGGGTATTAGTTTGTAGGTGGTTTGCGAAACTCTGGTTTTAACATCTGGTAATCCTGCTTCGGCCAGGATGCATTTGGTTGGGGTCGTTGGGAAAGCACCAATGCTGCGCCTAACGCCGCGTGATAAGGAGGTACGATTTTCTTTAGATTGGATGGCGCGCACCAGCCATAGATAGGAAGGGCGTACTCGATTTTGGACAGGATCAAAGCTCGCGTCGCTTGTATTAGTGTAGTCGGGTGGATGAAAGAGCGCTTAGATGTTAAGAATTTAATAATGTTAAGTCTATTGTTTAAATTAATCCTAAGTTCGTTACAATGTTGTTTAAATGTGAGTCGTTTATCAATTGTCAGGCCAAGAATTTTAATGTAAGGAACGTTTTCTATATTTATGTTATTGTAAGATAATGTTGGATATGTACAGCGTTGTTTTTTACAAATATGAAAGAGTTTACATTTATTTACAGCAAGGGTCGCACCAGAAGTGTTCCCCCAAATTTGAATATCATTAAGGATTTTTTTCAACTGAATGTTTAATGTAGTAGTGTTTTTACATTTGCTATAGATTATGGCATCGTCTGCATAAATTGAAAATTTAATTTGTTTATATCTTAGAATAATGTTGTTTAAGGACTGGAAGGCGATCATGAACAATACCACAGAGAGGGGCGATCCTTGTGGGATGCCATTGTGGAGAGTATAGAATTTAGATAGAGTGTTGTTTACTCTTACTCGGATTGAACGGTTGATCATGAAAGCCTTCGCTAAGTTGAAGGTCTTTTGACCTACCCCCCACCGGGAAAGTTGATCCAATACTGTGTGCACCCCTATGCGATCGAAAGCCCTTTCAAAATCAGTTGCCAGTATGGTAACATGATTTTTGGTAGAAAGGGCATCCGATGCATAATGGTGGAGATGCAGGAGAGAATCAAGAGTGCTATGCTGTTGTTTAAAAGCTGTTTGGTGAGCTTCCATAGAAATGTTCAAAAAATTGTTAGAAAAAAATTATAACTTAGCTGTTTTTCAACAGTTTTGCATTATTTTTAGGATACGGTCATTTCTTTTTACTTCAGAATTTCGTTTTGAATTTTATGAAAATCGGACGACTATATCATATAGCTGCCATACAAATGTTCGATAAATTTTTAGAAAAAAAAACTATAACTTGGATGTTTTTCAACATTTTTGCACCATTTTTGAGATATGGCGATCTTTTATTATTTCAGATTTTCGATTTTAATTTTATGCAAATCGGATGACTATATCTTTTAGCTGTCATAGGAACGATCGGGAAATATAATAATATAAGAGCGTCTTCATCTGTTTTAATCGTCGTCGTTTTTAATCATCTTTTGTCGTCGTGGTTTTCCCTTTATTAGTTCGATTTCTTTAGGAATACAGTCACGGACAGAAGTCTACGTACGACCCATATTTTGCTTACCAGGCAAACACAATGATGTTTTTCGAAAAACTAATGATGCAGTCTTGTAACACACTTATATTTATTCGAATTAAGCAAAAAAAATGTTTCAACCAACTCCCTTCGAAATATTAAAAAAATACGAAAATTTACCCTTGACAAAAGTGTACGTACGACTCAACTTAACTCTACTTTTCTGCGAATTAACTTATTCTGAGAATCTAAAAAGAGCCGTTACTTGTTGGATAGGATTTGGCTTTGCTCTATTATTCGTTTTTAGTTGATTTGGAAGCTCTGATATAGTAGCAAGTCTATAAAAATGGCTCCTCGTAAAGAAATTTCACTCGAAGTACGAAAATTGGTAATAAAACACAGAGAACAGAAAAAAAGTCTGGCAGAAATTGGAAAACTATTAAACCTAAGGAAGTCTACAGTTCAATCTATAATAGAAAATTATAAAAACACCGGAAACTTGGAAAAAAAAACCTCGGAGTGGTCGTCCCAAAAAGCTGGATTGGAGAGATATCTCCTTTATTTTGAAGGAAGTGGGAAAAAATCCCATAATAAGTGCTCCAAAGTTGTCGGAAGACATTGAAATGAGGTCTAATAAAAACGGTACATCCAAGAACCATTCAAAGAACGCTAAATTATAACGGTTTACACAGCCGAATCCCAAGAAGCAAGCCGTTAATAAGCGAAAAAAACCGGAAGCTCCGCTTGGACTTTGCCTTAAAATAAAAATTTTTGGAAAACCGTTTTATTTACGAACGAATCTAAATTTAATATATTTGGAAGTTATGGCAGAGCGAAGATTTGGCGAAAGGTAAACACAGCGTTACATCCCAAACATCTGCTTCCAACGGTGAAACATGGCGGAGGCAATGTCATTGTTTGGGGCGCTGTAGCTGCTTCGGGAGTCGGAAATTTGATATTTATTCAAGGGAATATAAATCGGTATCAGTATAAGGATATATTGCAACAAAATCTGAAGGCTGTCGACGACAAATTAGAGCTTGGGCAAAGCTGGATATTCCAACAGGACAACGATCCGAAACATACCGCCCATATT